ATTTTGTATTGTATTCTCTCTATCTCAATCTCATTCTACCATGCAGTCAATATTTAAAAGAAATCTTAAAAAAAATATTCAATTGCATATCGTAGTCAAAGTAGGCCTTGAAAAATCATAAGAAACTGCGTCGCACTATTGACTAACGGTACCGTAATCCACTGTGTGCAATGGTGAAATTCTTGATTCGACATGATTTTGTATTGTATTCTCTCTATCTCAATCTCATTCTACCATGCAGTCAATTTTTTTTAAGAAAATTCAAAAATTCTTTTTAATATTGTATTTTAAAATAACACTTACCGAACACTTTTTTTGGAAAAACCGACAAAAATCCAATTCGATAGGATATTTCACTTTCAATGCAAACTGAAAATTTATGCGCAGGAATTTTAGTTCTTACACTGGCAATGGTTCGTCACGATGTGAATTGTTGCCGGCTTGTTGGTTTGAAATGTCGCAATCAAATACACTGTCACACCAACACATTCAAATCGGTTTGTCGTTGACAGTGGCCGATATTGAACAGCGAATGCGTTAGCTACTATGCAAAATATGACAATTGTTACTCGAATGTGATTTCTTGTTGCTGTTGATACAGTTTTCGTTTATCCGTTTGCGTCGCCATGTTGTCGTCGTTGTGACGTTGTTCCGATGCAATGCTATTGTGTGTACAACATTGATTCTTTGTGTGTTGTTCTCTCCACTGCTACTACCAAATCTCAATTTTTCGTCAGCAATCTGTTATATGCTGTTGTGACTTTTGTTTCTTTTGTATGTTTTCTCTTACATTCTAATGGTTTCCCAATCATCTATCACTCACTTACTCATCCACACACACACAAACTCTCTTTTTATTACACATAGATTCAATTTCTATCACCTTCATTTGACAATCTCATACGTAATACATATATTACAATTAATGACGATAATCGAAACTAATCGAAGAATAATCGCAAAACAATCAATAATAATTAATAAGTAATTTTTAAGTGATTTGCCCCTCGGAGCTACCATTACCAAATACTGAATCAGATGCGACAACAACGGTTTCGGTGAAATTGGATGTCGTGAACTTTTGACTCATCGATTCTTTATTTGCAGCTGATGAGACTGGTGTGACGTTGCCATCTGTGTGAAAAATGAAAACCATACACATATTTATATACAACAACAACAACAACAACAACACCATCATTGAATTTCATCCATTAGTTGAACATACCGCTGGGTGTTGATGTGTTCGGCAGATCATATTCACTGGGCGCTGAATCTTTGCTGTGATTTCGTGACGGTTTCGAATGTTTTGGTTCACGTTGCTCTTTCGATGAGCTCTTTGTTGACGATGAATTACCTTTGCTATTCGATTTGCTGCTACTTTTACTACTTGAGCTTTCTTTTGTACTGTTGCTGCTATTGCTATTGCCACCATCGCCGCCGGATACATTCAATAGATCGGCACTCAAATTACTTGATGAACTGCTTGTATTTATTTGGCTTGTATTTTGATTGATGGACTGTGATTGTGAGCTGGATTGTTTTACAGCAAACGGTGCCGATTGCTGTACTGACGACGATGATATCGATGAACTGCTTGCACCACCACTGCTCACATTCGATTTTCGCTGCACCGATTTGTGTGAACCATTCTGTGATGATTGCTTTTGATCAACATTTGATGACGTTAAACCCATTGGTGGCTGAACAAATAACATTTAAATGGTCAGTAAATGTGTTTATATGGAAAATTGTATTTTTGACAAATACTCAAAAGCGAAATGGAAACAAATTAAATTTACTTACAATTGGTATTAATGCTGCTGTTTCGGATTCTTTTTCAGGTGACGATGACGGATCACTCGATTCAATTCCATGATTCACTGGTTTATATGGTGGAATCGTTTTTACGTTTCCGCCTTTTTTCTGTAACAATCAATTATTTGTGTTATCAAACTTGATTTGTTTACGTTTTTTTTAAATCAATGTTGCAATTTACCAATTTACTGTAATGATGTTGACAATATCCACAATATTTAACGTTGTCCAGATAATTTCCGGCCTCTTCACAAAGTAATCCACGAGCCTGTGCGCATGTGACATGAAATTGTTGTTTACAACCAGCTTTATTGCACTGCATACACGCTCCAGCTGTGGCCTTTGAGCCTTTGCTATTCTCATGGCATATGTAACACACTGCAAGCGTCCAATCGAAATTCAAAATTATCATTCGTCGTGTCAAATGTGATTAGCATAAAATTATTGTAATATTTACCTTTGTTGAATCGTTCCGGTGGTATTAATTGCAATATAATCGGTTCCATGGTGGTGACATTACCAAAGCGTACCTCTGGTATATAGAGGGCACATACAACATGTGCCCATCCTTGGTTGTCCGTACGTTTCAATGCACCATCTTTCGATGGGCATAGTTCGCATCGTACACGAGTTGAACGCTCTTGACTTTCACATTTTCGGCAATACCAATTGCCCGTCGGCACTGTAACTATGCCATAACATGCCTGATGTACGGCAACAGTACAATGTTGTCCATCGCAATAAACGAGTGGATTTTCCGACCAACCTCTTTCATCTGAGCAAACACAACAACCGCCTACCATTTCCTTCATTTTAATTGCAAACAAATAATAACAGACACATTCTAATCGATCAACTACCGAAATGAAAACAAAAACATGAAGAGATACAAAAAGAAATTAGAAGAAGAAACAAGTGCAAAATAGATATGCTGATTAGATTTGACACTTATGTTAAATAACAAGAGGTGAATATAAAAAAAATGCCACCGCCAAATCGAACTTACATGTAGCTAGATGAACTGAAAATGGTTAAAACGGACTTGTTTGAACCAAGTCAATCCAATTTGATTTGTTATTCACGTAATACAAATTCCGAAGAAAAAAAATCAATGCACCACACGACGAATGTTATATATAGGTGTACAAAAAATCTCTTGGGCGGTTTATATCCTTCAAGTTTTCGATAAATTTACGTTGATTTCCAGTATTTTTTATACTAGTCTGCGAATTAATGTAATTTCCACGCTTGTTTCTCTCACAAAATCAAATTTATTGTAAATCCTATTCACTAAATCAATCACAATTTAAAGATAAATGAAACACCTATTTGTTCGATGCTACTAAACAATGAACTGTCTACTATGGTTCTGATACGAAAATACAAATGTCGGCCATTTTGTATTTTTTTTACTCTTTTCTCTAGTCGCTTGTATACTTGGACCGTGTGCGTACATATAACGTATGCGCTTATATATTGGTTTGGATGTGTGCATGTTGCATCGAATTAACCTGTGTGATGAAGAAGAGTATGCATCATTTGCCGCTATGATTCGTGCTTGTATATAATCAACGCATTTTAATCTGAACATCATCAACGATGGATAATGTACAATTGTACATACCATACACCAATGTTATGACTATACCGTGTGCTTCATTTTACATTATATAAATGTAAACAATCTAAATACAATGGGAACAAAAGCATGCACTCTGCACAGTGCATATAGAAAAACGCAACAATGAATGAATGCATACGTGATTTCTTCTATGCGCATTATTCATATATATAGTATATGTGTGTGTGTGTGAGTCTATTTATTGGTCTAATAGTGTCAAACGCCGTACAATTCCAATTTGACAATGCATTGATTTGTCCTTCTATTGGATTCTCTTACTCGTATATTTCTTCCCACAAATGTTCGGTTCAAATCAATTTCATTTTTCTTTTAATTTTTTTATTTATTTTTATATAAATTATACAATTTGTTGAAGTACACATTATTGAGGTGTTTTTTTTTAAATCGATGATACAAAAAAACATTGTAGATCCTGAATTTATTTATTTATTCTTTGTTTAATTTTTGTAGCAAAACAGTTGTTGAAATTAATCATTACGGCAGACGCTGATGAAAGTTGAAATTAGTACATGGAATGTGGCAGAGTGTATGTATGATTGCTGAGATCTGCCACGCAATATCGTCTCTTTTAAATGTATGATTGTAACGAACCGTATGATTTTGTTTTATTTGTTTAAACTACTCGACGAACTTCGAAGAATCGCTTCAAATAATACACTTGACCGACGGTCATAATTACTAAAACTAATGCTTCAAATGTTGACCATAATACAACACGTGAATTTGTGCTTTCGTTAATTTCACGATGGAATTTATCACGCACATGCATATATTCTTGTTCATGTTTCACCGACGTAAGTCCAGCGCCCAATTCACGAATCTAAAATGGAAAAATCGATTATTGAAGTACCAAAAAAAAAAAACAGAAAAATTCCGCTCTCTCGAAGTTGTTTACCATATCTTCGAGTTTGTTGTGTCCAACTTCGCTTTCGTTTGGTGCGCCTGCTACACGTCCACCATCCAAAACATCCATATTAAACATAATTGTCTTTGGTGACATGCTGACTTTCTCATTTACAAAACAGTATGTGTATTTGGCCTCAGGATCGCCTGAACCGAATGTGTATTTGCCCGATTTTTCAGTGCCTTCATGGATCACTTTACCCTGTGGATCCGTTATCCGAAGCTCAATATCATTAAAACCACCTTCAATTACCTCGAACATTAAACCTGTATTACGAATGCAACGTAGACATAAATGGTAGGTAGTATAATAAACACGTAAATACAATCAAATCGAAAATTCACTTACTCATTTTTGGTCCGATTTCATGGAAACAATCTTGTGCACCCGAATCTATTGTAATCATATATGATTCACTGAAATGCAACAATTTCAATAGAATTGTTGTAAAAATTACGGATTTAAATGTTATCATTTTGTTGGCAAAATTTTTGACTTCGTAATTAGTATCGTATTGCAAGTGAATGTTAAAATGAAATTGACGTGTGTGACATTCGGCTTTATATTTTACTTTAAAGCCACGTCTGCCATATATACACACATCAAACAAATGAATGTGTTGACATTTCCCTCCAATACAATCGAAACCCTATTGGAGAAAGAGCAACGAATTGCTATTGTTTCAATGGCTGCCAAAATAGAATAATTAACTTAATTTTTATTATTTTCGTTTTTTATATGATATTTTACATTTTTGGTTGAATTAATTTGAAAAAATTGTTAATTTAAGAGAATTTATGGGAAAGTCTATTGAAAAGTCGACTATGAAAGCCAACTTCACTACGTTTATGAATTGACAGCTATTGACATATCGCAAACAAAACGTGCAATCAAAATTAAATTCATCTAAATCAAAACAAACGAGCACCGATTGGAAAAATGTCCCGGCAAAGTGATGAAAAACCTGAAACATGTGAGGGAACATTTTGTGTGTTGGATTTTCATTGGAAAATATTCAAAAATGTCAATTTTTTTCAGCAAATCAAATGACTGAGAGGTTGGATGAGTTTGTTGATTTTGTGACCGGTTTAGTGGAACCAAAAAAGCGGCCCGATGTTTCGTTAAAGCGATGGCATAAAACCGTATTGACTGGCACCAAAATTCAACCACAAAACAAAAAGGTTAGACAGAAGACAAAAAAGAAGTCAAAGGGCTTGACACGAAAAGAGTTCACTGATTTGGGTCTTTTTAATTTGCCAACAAAATCGATGAAATACGCCGATCTGTTGCCGGTGCATGATCTTTGGGTGCAATACATTGAAAAACAACTGGAGCCATACATTAAGAAACGAGAAAACGGAAAATTCGGCGTTCCAGAAGTGTACGATAATTCATACGATGCATTTAGTAAAACACTCATCAAGTCTGATTTACACGGTGCTAAAGTATGACACGATATCAAATGATATATTATATGCAAAACTTGAATGTGAATATTCTTTGTTATCTAAGGTGACTGTAATCGCATCATGTAATCCTTCATTAGTTGGCCAAACGGGGCTTGTGGCAATGGAAACACGGAACACTTTCAAAATTATCAGCGAGGACAATCGAATACGAAGTAAGTCTTTGAATTCCTTTCATCTATGATTTCTTGAATGATTTTTGCTTTTTTTTTTCTTTTACAGCAATTCCAAAGCCAGAATCAGTGTTTAAGATAGTTGTAAATGGAATCGAATTCAAAATATTCGGAAAATATCTGAATATTCGACCTGCTGAGCGGGCTGTTAAGAAAATTAAAACAATCATGCATCCAGATCTGTAGTTTTTAAGACATTTTGTAAATAAAGAATGCATTTTTTTATTCAAATTGTGTTTATATGGTTTTATTATTTTTGTGGTTTAAATAATATTTGTCTAATTAACTTAATCATTCAGTTGGATGAATTTCATTTTAAAATCAATAATAATTCAGTTTCTTTTCTTCTTCTTCTTTATTTTCGTTCAACATATTTTACATAAATCGTCATTTCCTATGCGTTCGTATTGTGAAATCGAAATCATTTTAAAGTCAATTGAAAGACAGGACAAAAAGTTTCAAATGTAATATAACATATAATTTTCCGAATTTTTTGTTTCTTTCAATCACAGGGATTGTTCCTTTGAGGTGGAGGAGTGGTAAGGAGGGAAATTAGAAGGGGGAAAGCGCTGATGAGGATACATTCTTATCTCACTTGAGCTGGAGGATACACCTCAATGCTCTCTGCTCCTCATCATTCCCCCTCCTTATTTTCCTCCCCACCATTCACCATCTCCTCAGAGTAACAATCCCTGTTCAAACATAATATTCGCCAATTTTTTCGTTTTTTTTTTTTTGGTCGTAGATTTTACTACGAAAATGTAAACATTTTTTTAATGATAATATATCTATTTTTCCATGCAGTAAAAATAAAATTTGCATTTAACAAAAATTTACCCATCATTTTAAATGAATTGTTCAATTGCAACTCAAAATAAAAAAAACAACTGTTTCTTCCATATATAATGTACTATGCAATATCATTTGTTAATAGCATTTGTATAATTTGTTTTTATTTTATTTTTTATTTTTGTTAAATTTGTAATGGTTTTTTTACTAATTAATAAAATAGTTGATTTCTCCTCTGTGTGTCCCACTAGTTATAGTTAGTCTGGATGTACAAGTATATGTTTTTATTATCCATGCCTTGTTTAGTACGAATTAAATGTAGTTTGCATTTTGCTTGCCACAATCTCAATTATTAATATCATCATTTTTTTTTGGTTCATCAATTAAATCAATGAAGGCATTTTTTGTCCCGCTTTTTAGTAATGTGATTAGCGTTTGTATATATGTTACAAGTTGAAAAGTGTTTTTTTCTTCTTTGTTACGCTAAATAACTACGCAATTTCTATCTAACGATTGAAAATTTAAGCGAAATTTAAAATTTCATTTTGTTTTTGATTTGCGATAGTAAATGATTTCTTAAGTTGATATATATACTTTTTTTACACAATCATTTTTATTTAGTTTCCTATTGAAGGAAGTTCAAGGAACGACAATAAGTAAAGCTTTTTTCAAAGTAAATAATTGGAACAGCTAAGCTCATTGGCGTAGAAATATATGTGTGCCACTAAAAAAGAATTTTTTTAGAAAGAAAAAAAAAACGCATTTTTTCCATCAGAATGAATTAAATGTGGAATTCTGTGTGCCTTTTTCAAATATGTAGAATGAAATTCAGCGTTTGAATTTTTTTTGGATAAAAATGCGTATTGCTTCTTTTTCGAATATCAATCGGAATCTACTTGCAACGAGCACCATGAATATCATTCAAAGTTCAAATGAACAGCGTAACAAGAGCATTTATGCGTATTTCAACTCTTTCTATTTTCTTTTCTATCATGGAGAACAAATCAAAACAAAAACATTCATTATATTGTCTATTTCGGTTTGGTTTAACAGTAATTTTTCTCGTTTTTTAAAACTATTCATAGATTGAAACGTCCATTTTAATTACATTTTATTGCTGAAATTGTTGGACTTATTCCATTGTGTGGGATTTGGAGATGCTATTTCAAAACAAACACATTTAAAATATTAAACATCATTTGCAGTTTTTATCGGATAAAATAGTGAGCACTATAAATAGAAATTGAAAAAATAAAATTTATAACCATTTGAAGCACCAGGTGATTTCAACATAGTCTTAGCTGCATTAAAAGAAATGTTTTGGATAAGGTTTTCTTTTGTTTACGCTCTTGAATTGGAGAAAGGTGAGAAATTAGAATGTTGGAACGAACAAAATGACTATTTTCTTTTAAACAGAATATTATTTTATACAGTCTAGGCTTTTCCTTTCATACAAAAAAACATAAACACATATTTTGATTCGTTCCTCTCTTCAGTGGTAATTGTAGCTATTCATTTACATTTAACATATTTGGTCGATCGTTAACGATCACCTTTCTTTTAAACTGTGAAAAAAAATTAACCAAACGCAAGACAATCAAATTTCAAAATTAAAAAAAAAAAATCTTCCTTGCTTGTACATAAAAACACTACCTTTTCTCGAATTTAAAAAAAATAATAATAATAATAATGCCAATGTGAATGCAGGCTTTTGTTCTGTTTTCCATTTTTAAAAAACGGCTCAAATACATCATCATCTGTTTTGTTGACTCATTCGGTATACGGTCGATTGCAAAAAGTTGCAACTCCTTGCCGCACGTACAGTCGCACGCACACATACATACACATTTTAATTTCATCAGTTTCATTTAGAAGAAAAAAATCGAGAAAAAAGATTAAACAACTAATTTAATATATACTCTAGATGTCACTTAATCCAATAATTTCACAACAATGAAATTTCTGAAACGAAACAAAAGAGAGCATGAGAATGAAAAGAATTCGATTGAGAATGAAAAGAATTTGGGTTTACCTTTGGCTTCATGACTATCAGATGTGACTAGTGGTGCTGATGTGATTAAACTGTTGTTATTAAAGTTTACTGTATGTTCGGCTGTCTGATTCGTATCGAGTGATAAATCTAGGAGTTGATTTGTTATTGAATCATTGTAGTTATTTCCTATGCCAGATTCACTGCGTTCATCAATAAAGAAAAAAACAACATACAAATAATTAGTGAGCTCAGTTCTTTATAAAATAAAATTAAAATTGCAATGCACATTGTGTGCCACTTACATTTTATTATCTAAACTATTGATCAACGTATGACCGTTGCCATTTGAAATTGGCGCTTGATGTTCGTCGTTCAATGTGAAATCTAATAATTTGCCATTAGTTTTTAAATTGTTGTGCACACCGTTATTCTCTGCATGATGTTGGGGAGACTGTTGTGTGGCGGTTGTTATTAAATTATTTTCTATCAAATTGCTAAATGTGTGAATAAGTGCGTTCTCTTTGTCGGTAACACTTTTCTCATAATCACTTAGCGCATTTTTTGTATTATTGGCAGACGTTTCATCATTTTGTTGCGATTGAGTCGATGACTGTGAAGATTCGGTTGTATTTACACCATTTTTGTCAGCATCATTTTCCGTCTGCCAAGAAAAAAGAGAGACACAAGAATCGATTAGGAATGGAGCTTGACAATCGAATGAAAACAATACGATAGCAATGGTTTTAACCTTATTTGTTGCATTGTTAGCTGCTGTTGTTTTTGCCCGTGTACGAGACATGATGGCTTCCACACGTTTACGGCGCTCTTCTCGTTCTTTTTCTTCTTTTTTAAGTCGTTCGGCAACCTCAAGTTTCTGTTTTTCAGCTTCTTCGCGTGCCTTTCTTTCTTGCTCTTCGCGTTCCTGTCGTTGCTTTTCTTCGTCCGCTGAAAATCACAAAACACAATCACAACCATTAAATTCGACACACTTTTCAGAATTTTGATGTCAATTGAAAATGTACCTTTACGCAAACGTTCTTCCTCTTCACGTTGACGCGCTTCTTCAATGGCTTGCTGTAAGCGTTTTTCTTCGGCTTGTCGCTGTTCTTCAACCAATCTTTGGGCCTCCAATTCAAACTGTCTTTGCTTTTCTTCTTCTTCTTCCTGTAATTTCAATTGTCGTAATCGTTCCTCTTCTTGTTTTTGACGCTCCAATTCGGCCTGTCGTTCAGCTTCTTCACGTGCCAATCGACGACGTTCGGCAAGTGCCGCTTTAGCTTCTTCTGCCGAAAGTATGCGACGTTGAATCATTGATGCTGTAAATGGGTAGAAAATTGTAATCGAATACTTAATCGTAATGAAATTACTATATTTAACCTGTCATTTCATTGTTCTCTGGTTCGGTCAATTTGTTATTGTCGACATTTTCATCGTTCGAAACAGGTTCTGATTCGGAAGTAGTTTCGGTCTTAATCTCATATGTTTCTTGAACAGTGTGTACATTTTCATTGTCTTCACTGGACGCTTCGGTCGTAGATGTAACTGTTTCGACGGTTTTCGTTTCGATAGTTGTTTCCACGTCGTGGATCATTGGTTCACTCACATTTTCCACTGTTTGTACAATTTCAATGGAATTCACTGGTGCTTCGTTAGGAACTGATATTGTTATCGCACTTTCGGATTGTGGCGATGGTAGCTTTGGTGTTGATGTTCCACGTGGCGTTGATGCCTGTTTCCAAATAAAATTCGATTAATAAGTTGAGATGTAAATTAAGCCTTTTGAATTGGTTGTCTTAATGGACATTTAGTTGTCTGACGCAATGAAAATTACCTTTTTCGGTGGCGCTGATCGAGCACTTCGTTTCGGCGTTTCGTGCAATGATGTGGACATTTTCAATGATGCATCTTTTGTAACGTTTGCTGACGTTGTTGACGAAGATCGCCGAACGGCAGACGATGGTCTTGATGGTGGTTTGTCTTTCTTTTGTGGTTTGGATGACTCATTGCCTGAAATGATGACAAATTTATTGTTTAAAAATCTTTTCTTCTTATTTTATTTCGAAAACAAAAGATCAAACTTACCGCTGTCTGGCGTCATGCCAGTGCAGGCAATGCTGGATGGACGTGGTTTTCTTGGGCCACCAGAGCGTCGTACAACGCCCGATGTTGACATTGTTGATGTTGACATTGCACTTCCGGGCCGTGATGAACCACCGCCAGGTGTCACTTCTCCAGATCGTGATCCTATTTATCAAATAAACATATTTACAATGAAATTTTTGTATTGACCATGATTAATTAGTTAAATACAGCCAACGGCATATTAAAATAAACGATTTACGGTTAAACATGGATAAAACGCCACCAAATTGTTTAACTTCTATTTTGGTTTATGTCAACTAAACTATAAAACAGAGAGAAAATAAGACTAGGCAATGGAGATACTAATTCTACAAAATGGATTTAAAAGTTACTTGAAACCTTTTACCCATACTTTATCCATAATAACGACATATAAAGAAAACTTTTTTTATGAACTAAACGATATATAAATCTAATATAATTACGGAACTTAGTCATTAACGATTTGTTTATGTGTTGTTTGCAGATAATTGAACGTTAATTCTGTCATAGTAACATATAATTAAAAATCAGGTTAACTTTTCATTTAAAAGCCAATTGATTAAGCGATAAAAAATAAGGATATAAATGGAACCACCAAAAAGTAGACATTGACGGGGGTAGAAATGTGATTATATAAACCTAATATGAAGCAAGCTTCGAGTAGATGGTAGCAAAAAAAACTGTAAAAAAGAAAGAGTAGACATCAATTTATAGAAGAGGAAGAGAATTAGTTGTTAGGTGATGTTTTAAAACAAAGAAGGAGAGTCGAATGTGTTTTGGGAATTTGTGTTTTTGTTTGTTGGTTTTGGTGGGTGTGTACGTGTGTGCCAATCGCTCTGTTGCGAATTGTTAGTCATAAGGTAAAAGTGGGTACGAATTTTAGCCGATCACCAAAATAAATTGTGGTTGGTATGTGTGTGTGTGTTTTTTTTTAATTCTTGCTTGTTATTTACATAGCAAGCGATACGAATAATAAAACGAAACTTGCTAAAAAAACGAAAAACATTGTGATATGTAGAGAAGAGAAACGGAAATGGTGAACACACACCTGCAGAAACGTTAGTTGTTCGCGAATCAATTTCGATATCATATGCATGCTTTTGTGCAATACGTGCTTGAACCACAGTCGGCGTTTTTGGTGTGCTTAGCAATTTGGCTGTAACCAATTGTGTCATACTTTTCGTTGCGTTTGACTTACGTAACGGTCGCACTTGGTTGATGGTGGCATTTCTTGAAAACGATGATGACGCACTGCTGATTGGTTGATACAATTTCAGCGGAGCTGGACTTCGTGTCGATGAACTCGACGATAAATGCGTTAAACTACGTGACATTTTTCGAGTTGTTGCAACCCGTTCGGTTGCCAAATTCGTTTCAATTTGCTGTTGACGTTCACGTTCAATTACTGCACGAATATGCTCACCCTTGCGTCTGGTCGGCTGTGCCAATTGATCTAAGCGAGTCATTGAAACGGCTCGTCCTTTATTCTTGAAATCTGCATTTTGCATTTTCATGCGATTTTTTTTTGGTTTTGTTTTGATTTGATTGTATGTGTGTGAAAGTGATTTCGTTCATGATTTTGACACACATAAAATTCCATGATTCAGTCGGAACGTATTTGTATTGCCATTTCGGACACGTGCAGTTTGTGATTTCGGTTAGGTTTTTTATGTTATTTGGATTGAGTTTTGTTTAGAGTTCACAAGTGTGTATTGATTCGATCACCGGAATAGATTGTCGATCATATTTTTTTGGTGGCAGCAAAAAATCAAGTTATAAAATGAAATCATAGAAATTAATTTCAAATATATATTTAAAACAACAACAAAATAGAAAAAAAAACTTTAAAAAAATCTTAAACATAAAATCAGAATATGTGTTCTTTTTTTTCAGGTGTGTTTCGATGAAAATTATTTTGATATTGTTTTTTTAACTAAAATGTGCTAATTGAGTGTATTGTTTGTGTATGTGGATTTTGTACTGGTTTTAGCAGTGTTTTTTTTTTGCAACTGATCTATGATAATTAATGAGATGATGCGAAAATAATAAAAAAAAATGAAAATTTTGACGGGGGAAATTAAAATCTATCGAAATAAAAGGATAAAATAGCCAATTTCATACATTCGCTGCTTACACAAGCACTTAGCATTATAACGTTCTTTTTATACAACCTGTCTTCAAAACATTCTTTTCGACACAAAAAAAAGTTTCAAATAAACTTGCGGTACATATGTTTTTGAGAGATATATAGAGAATTGTGTGTGTGTAGTTTTTGTTTGTTTGTTTAATTTTACCTTGTGTACGCGGTGTAGAACAATACAGAGACGTTCGAGAGCCGAAACTCGAATCACGGATTGGTATGGTCGGGATTAAATCGGTTTTTCGCCGGGCAACACTTCGAATAACGAACGGTGATGTATCATTGGAATCATCTATAAAACATCATATTTATTGCCAATTTGTGTTTTTGGTTTTTCACATAGAAATTTTTTATTCTTCAATTCCAGATCACAACAAGAAAATATTGGATGTTCAAAACAATAATATTAATAATAATAACAACAACAACAACAACAACAACAACAAAAAATGCGGAAATGCACACCAAGCTAATTTTGTTGAGCATTCAAAATCACGGCTAATGAATAAGACTCGTAACTCATGGATACAAATGAAACGAGAAAATACCGACAGACGCCATGATCTAAAAATACATGGTTTCATCTTGGGATCAAATTCTCAATTCATCATATCAATGGAACGTCGCTTGTAAAAAGTTAAAAAAAAGGCATTCAAATAAAACTGTATAACAACAACAAAAACGGTCGGACTTTGTAAATGAAAAGCCCTTGGATTATTCATTCCAGAACGCATGATTGATTAGAACATAACAGAGATAATGAAAGAATCTTAAATTATTGATAATATTTACACACATCAAACGATATACATATTATAAGCTGAAAAATAAGCGAAACTTAAGATGGCATAACGTGTTCATATTTCTTTTTAGCGGGAAAATAAAAATCAAATACAACATGCAATGAAGCTATAGAATTGAATTGAATAGAAAAAAAAATGAAATCGTAGCGAAATGATTTTGAAAATAATACATGTGAAACACTCATGCAAGATCAGCAACAATAACAAACAGCTTTTCCAAAGTCACACTCTTGATTTCTTTTTTATTAGTTCACTATTCATTCAGCATTCACAAATCATAAATACGAAATTCATCATATTCAAACTGAATTCCAGGGTCAAAATTATGAAAATCCATCGAATATGGTAGTTGGAGTGAAAATAAAAAGAAAATCAAATAAAAAGAGATCGTTTTTTGAAAACAAGAACATGCATTATTAGATGAGAAAAGAGCAAATCGGAAAATAGGAAAAAAATCGATCGCGTACGCCGTAGCAAAAGTTGATGTATTCGCGGTCTCAAAATGCATGTGGTGTATATGTGGATTTCGTTTCATAATTGTTAAAAAACAAATGCCTCACCATAATATGATCTCGAATTAGTAGCGTTTTGTGTAGTAGTCTTTGTCGCGGACGGTGGTGGATCATCAATGTTTATTTCGGAAGCGCCAGCAAATACTGACAGTCTCTTCGGTCGAGACTCATTCACATGGCCCCAATTGAATACTTCGTACATTGATGTGGACATTTTGTGTAAATCTAAACATTGAACATATGTGTTTGTGATGGTTTTTTTCGATTTTGGTAAACAAAGGACGCACATAAATTTTGTAGAAAAAAAAGTTGATGATATCGATTACAACGGCAGAGATATGATTTTCGGTTTTTTTCTTCAAATAATCATAACAAATTTAAAATGAAACAAATATATCAACAAAAAAATGATTAAAAAAAAACAAAACGTTTATAATTACAACAGAAAAAAATGGTAATGAAAAATGTATAAACTCTAAATAGTAAACAAAATGCACCCACAGACGAAATGAGGTGTCGAAATAGACGAGCGTGCCATTTGCTTGGTTTGTTTTTTGTTTCTTTTCCGTTTTCCAAATAAGAAGTTTTAAAATTTTGTTTCCAAAAGGTATATAGACAAATTCAATGGTTTAATGTGGGCGATTTTGAAATTTAAATGATTTGGTGTGCAAAAAGAGAAATTTGTGATGAGAATTATCTTCGAAATGTTATATGTGTGACATAAACAATGTCAATAAAATGTGTGTGCATGTGTACTGTTTGACTGTTCGAGTGTTTCTGAGTGCATGTATATTTTTTTTTATTTATATGTGTTTGCCGTTGCGAAAAATGAAAGAATTTATGGTGAATAAAAAAATCGTGATGGAAAATTGTGATGACACCTCGTTGAAATGTGATTCTCCTGTATGTGTATGTGTGCAATGTGTGTATTTATGGATAAAACTCAAACAAACTATGAACTGATAAAAATACAAAGAAAAAAGAATGAAATACAACTGAATACGTTTATAAATCTCACCGTCTGGACGATCCAAGCCGCTGGCAGAAGTGGCACGTTTTTTCGTGCCATCGCTTAGTTCCCGTTCGGAACTGCGACGAGATAATTGTGTACCACCACCATACGAAACGTTTGATATTGATGTTGAACGCCGGCTATTCCAATAGGCACCGCTCGGCACCACCAAATTCACTTCAACCGGATCCAAAAGTCGCGGCGTTGACGAACCAAATGCAAATGATATTGAGCTTCGTTCGTTTCGTCGTTTTGTATCAAGTCGAGCATCTCGTTCTTGGTTCTTTCGCAAAATGTATTCGCGACGCTCACGTTCCGCGTCCATTATTGCTTTCTTTCGGTCTTCGACCTGTGGCACAAATAACAAAAAAAAAAAGAACGATAATAATAGTTTTTCATTCGAAAGAAATTTTGCAATGACAATAAAAAAAAACATCCACCATCGATGAATGGCAAAACAAATTTTGCAATTTGATTATCATTATTATTTGTTTCTGTTCGTTTACCTGCTGTCTTTTGTCATTCTCTCTTAATCGCATTTCTTCGATGCGCCTTTTGCGTTCTTCTTCTTTTTGTTCGCGATACTTTTGCGCTGCAAGTGCTTGTGCTTTCAGCTCATCGAGTTTTCGCTGTCGTTCCAAATTCTGTTGATCTTTTATTATTCGCAATCTTTCTTCACGATCTCGCGCTGCATATCGTCACCATACAGGCATATACAAAAATAAATTAAAATTGTAATTATAAGCAAAAATTCAATTAAATCAAATTTTATTTGACGGCATACATAGACCGATCACTAAATTATAAATGCCCAAAAACTAATATTCATTCCATGCTCATGGTTCTTTTAAAACGTGATACATTCATTTAATGCCCGGTTAATTTCATTCGAAACTATTATTATAGTTACGTCATCGGTGAATAAATAAAATATTTGTCGTTAGTTAAATCAGCAACTACACACTCAATTAAGTTTTTGTAAGTTGTTTCTTGTTTTTTTTTGTCGTACTAATGTACGATGTTAAATGTTAAAAAATTTCGCTGAAAATGCAATGTTACAATCAAAAGTTATGCCGATAAAGAGAGAAACAGAAACAAGACAAACCAATGTGAATTATGGCCATAAATGTTAAATTAGCATACAGGTCAGTGGATGAAAAATGATTTGGTTGCGTTTTAAAATGATGTTAGTATTTGCGGTTGTTTTTAATTTCTCGCTTGCATGTTCAATTCATTTGTTAAATTAAAACCCTTTTTTTTCGTTTACCTTCACCGTTATCGCGTTCATCATCATTTTCAACAAAACCGTGACCAATCTGTGCGAACCAATGCAATGTTTTCGCAATATCTACTGATGCATTTGCTTTTAATCCAATTACAAATCATATTTTATTAATGGTTTTGTTTTTTTTTTGTTTCGTTGTTGCCAAAAAGTAAAATAATATTACGACGTCAGTTATAATGTATATGTAGAAAGTGATATTATATTATGTTTACATAAAATAAAGAAGGAAAGATATATTAGATAAAGATAATGTTGGTTATTAATAATATCAAGTAATATCTTTGAATGATCGATAGATTGAGTTGAACTGATTAAAGAAATGTTCATGGGAATTTTGTTGGCCATCTACGCCATATGCTCTAAACTTTGGATTTTCTAAGTAATTTTTTTGGTTTCGCTCATTTCACTTACATTTTCGGGCACTATCCTGTTTTTGTGTGGCTGTTTCTGAAAATGAGCCATCTGAAAATGAAACATAAAAATGATTAGATTAGAAAGTCATAAATGTTTGAGAATAAACAATATTATCATATGAAAAAAGTTGAATGAAAATAATCTTTAAAGTCAATCGGTCGTTTCGTATGCAGTTTGATAACAAAAAAAAAAGCCGAAGGACCTTCGTCGAAGGTAAAAGTTATTCAGTAAGTTCAATACAAAGGCCAAGTTCATGAAGTCAAAGCATTGTTGATTTATGTAAAACGATGTACCTCATCGACGAGTTATTCCTGTATCGGAAATGATTTCGAAACTTATCTCTATCGCAAACAGTAAACACACTATCTTGAAAATCGGACAACCGATATAAAGTTGTGTTTTACAAACGCGATGACTGTGCTGTAACAAACAACTTTGTACAGACTTCGTTACGATGGTGATCACCGTCAAATATACAAGAAGCCACACATATTCTGCTTAGCACAACAGTTTGTGAATCGACATACAAACATGCACGTGTGCATTTCTATGTTGAATGAGTAGGCGAATTGAAAAGTGCATGGAAGCATATTGCGATTTGAATGAGATGGTTTAAGGATCGAGAAAGTCCACGGAGAAGCACTTAAACGTGTGAAACTATTTTATGAATTAATACGAAGGCGTTTCAACTCGAAATTCAATTTAGTTTGCTTTCTTTTTTTTCCGGTGTTGTTGCCGTGTACCAACCCACTCATCTCTTTCACATTTGATCATGTTTGATTAACATTCAATATACTTCGCTTTTTATTTGTTCTGCCCGCAATGATGCTATCCGCGACGATCATCTTGTTTTTTTTTAGAAAAGGCTTGAATGTTTATGGTGATTGCAAGGCTTATTATTTAATGGAATATCAAAATGTCAAGTATTCACTTGTCAGAAAGAAAATTGATATTGATATTTTGTGTGAAAGAATTCAATTGTGTTCACCATATTTGTTCTCCATTTTTTTTATTTACCCACAATAATTTATGAGCTATAAACAGGTACACGAACAGATGAATTCAATTCTTTTTTTACATTTCGTTTGTTTTACATTCAAAAACTCAATCTGTGTTTACATATTACATTTGAATTTATTATCGAATCTCAAATTGCGTCATCCATGGATGATCGAACACAGAAATATAGTGATTTGATGTTACTGCGATTTTTACCGAACGAATGTATAGTAGAGCTATGTAAAGCCGGTGCGAAAGAGTAAAATAGACACATGATATCATAGATCATACTCTTTTCATCGTTCTACTCTAAACAGTATTTCACAAATCACAGTGCACGAAATGAGAATTTTTCATAAATTGCTATTGTTTCATTTTTCTCTCGTTCATTTGAACGCAACGCTCTCTAATGTTAAGTTGAAGGCAAAAGTCAAATCTCATTGAATTTGTTTGCGATTGAGTGTTGTGAAAAACTTCCGAAACGTATTAGTTTAAACGTGTTGAATAAATCCATCATTCATTGTGATTGCGTTGGTTTTTCGTTGTGTCGAAGCCATTAAGCCTATTTTTGTCATGAATGAAATGTCTTTGAAGTGAAATATGGCGTGAAAACATAGAGACGAAGAACTGTCGTTGTCGCTTAGTGCTTCTGGAATCAACCAACACATGCCCACATTTGTGTGTTTCTTTAATTTCATTTCGGATACACAAAAATAGATTAGGACTGCGTTGCGATCGGTGTAAGTGCAACTCGAAAATGATAAACAATTGAAAACATTTGAAATATATGTGTTCATTTGTGCCATAATAATGGCGTTGTTTATGAGTAGCATATTGCTGGTCAATGCAATGACGATAATCGCTTGACTTGCACAATTACCGTTGGATATTTGCATTGAAACCGAAGCGGAGTATCTCCCTTTTCTACTCGATTTTATTTTTGCCGAAGTCAAGAATTATTATATCCATCACACAAATGACATAGACGTATAGAGGCAAATGAAAGATGAAGAAAAAAACAAAACTCGGGTACTCGCGCGAATGACCACGAATATGTTTGATTTCTTGCTCTTGTTCAAGCGCACGCATTTGCACTGAAATACGAGAACAACGTAATGGTGAATGAGCACATGTCTCAAATTAAGTATCATTTTGATGTATACACGATATGCACATGATTTTCAGTGAGCGAGTGCGATTCTAACAAATATATATATGTAGATAGATATATCGCCAAAGAGGCGCGCTCAGAGCATTGCCCGTTGTTGCTTGAATGCGACGAATGGGTGAAAAGATATGTGAGATGATCATTATGCGCTTTTATGCGCCGGTATTCATATTTGAAATGCCTCGTTGTTTTAGTTCGTATTGTGTTTTTTTTTATTCTAAAAGTTGTTGTTATTGTTGTTGTTGCTTTTTTTTATGTATTTATTTCCTTCTCGGTTCGTCAGTCGAATTGGTTTTAATTTATCTTTTCTTGACGTTTGCAATTTACATTAAGCAAACAACAGCTCATTCAAAGAAGACTGTCGTTTCCTGTATGTAAACAGAATCATAGAACGATTCGGGCAACGAGGAGGGGGAGATGTGCTCAAAAGCGTGCGCGCATTGACGCAATCAGTAAATCTCAAATTCGACCGAAATGATGAATATTGTAAATGCATAACAACCACACGAACCTTTGCCACTCACTAGCTCGTAGCTCCCATCGTTAGCATTGCTTCCGTCAATATATTTTCATCGTTAATGCAATCGTACAGTTTGGTGCCTTGTCTATTTTTCAAACTACCCGTTCGTCAGTTAGATGTTATTATTTTATGACTGTTTTTTGTTGCTTCCACTGCATTTCTTTTTTTTCGTTCGCGTAACTATTCAAATTTGTTTCTTTTTCTATTATATTATTGCTTTGTATTAATTATTTATAGAGCACCTTTGTTGGTGCAGTGTGGTGTGTGCCGGTGTGATGAATAAAATAAAATAACCGCATAAAAAATGCGTATTAAAAACCATATGAAAAAGGGAAAAAGTAATACATACAACGTCAAAACCATGGGACACATATCGCAAGTAATTATCCACTCGCTCATTCGCTCAATCGAACAAATGCTTCAGTGCTTGTTTCTGGTGTTTTCTTTTTCGCTTGCCTCTTAATTTTTTTTAATGTTTATTAATGAAAAATTTACAAACACTCGTATAATTATGATCATTTACAATTTACACACTGAGCAACCGCAACAGCGGCAACAGTACAACTACATGTCGGAACAAAAGACGCGAAAAGTAGTGAACAACGAACGGCAGTTTGTTGCATTCTATGTTCTATTCGGTCTCCTCAATTTCGACATTCCGTAATGCATCGATAAAAAGCGAGAAATGCTCATAACTGCACGAGATGTATAGCATACGACTCTCTCTTACGCGCACTCAAATCAAATTCATGGGAACAATATTTTTTCGTTGGTTGCATTGCAAACACTCGGTACATTTACACCGAGATCATAGATTCTAAAAATAAGTACGCTCTCGGTTTGTTGCCTTATTTTTATTTTACTCGGTTGTCTATTCTCAATGCAGGCAATGCACGCGTACATGGAATACCAAGTCGTACATCGAAAGAGAATCGACTGGATGAATTACAATCAGTGCGGCGCACTCGATGCAATGCACCATACGGTTTTGTAAGTGCATGTGTGTGTGTGTGTGTGTGTGTGCTTGAGTTTGTTTTTTTCTTCGTAAAACTTCTTTCAATCATTCGAAACCGAAACAGAAACATAAATGCACACGCATATATGGTGTGCCGTTTACTTGGAATCGGCTATGAAAAGCGGCCAGACTGGCGTTTGCTTCGCATGATATCATACGATGGTTCTGAATGATCGACAAGTTTATTAGCAGCAAATTTTGGCCAACTGAATAAAGAAAGGAGGCGAGAAGGAGATAGAGAGAGAGAGAGAGAAATTGTTCATTTCATGTCGATCTCTTTGCGAGGCCAAGTTAAATGTTGCATTTAAAATCAAACTCTTGTATTTGCTCAACAGCAGCGTGATAATATTTATGTGTTTGCACGAAATGCACATTGGAAAGGCAAATAAACAAAATAATCAAATGGTTGTAATAATTTTATCAAACGAAAAATATGAATGAACCCAAGCATATCATAAAATAGGTTTTTGTTTTGTTTCGGTGGTGTTTTTTTTTCGGTGAAATGGGCAAACGTCGAGTGAATCGTAGCAAAGTACAGTGACGGACTCTGGAATGAATGAAATAACGACGACAAACGGAAAAAACGATCATCTCAAGCGTGCATAAAATGTTGGACTTTGTCAGTGTGCATGAATAAAATATTACAAATTGACACAGTAGACACCAGCTCCTCTTACCTAAGACGGTAAAATTCATGACAATCAAGAATCATGTATTTTCCCTAGCCATTGCCTTTTTCTTTGCTGCTTTTTTTCTTCTTCTTTGGTTCGATTTTCAATTACAGTTCCCACTAAAAACGTACAAGTTGTAGCTTGTACTGTTTCTTGTTAAATCAGCTTGTGGAAAAAGTCAAGTTGTACTTGCGAACCGAATCGATTTCGACTCTATATAGAGGAAACGTAATGACCGTTCAATGCACACATACAGTAATAAAACGTACATAAAATGTGAATTTAACGGCGATTCAACATTGAAATAAATCGCCCTCAATCGCTCATAAGTCTCAAGTTGCATTTTAACTACTGCCGGCCTTAGTATATATACAAATCAAGTTCCGGTGAAATGAAAAATGCTACAATTAATCATCGAAATGGAAAGAAAAAAACGAAACAACACACGGATTTTGACAAACGGATTATATCAAATGTAAATTAGATTTAGATAAGTATATCCAAATAAAGATTACGTGACGCCAGACAAAATGAAGCGATGAAATCCACAAATTGTCTTTTCTTTGTAAATAAATCCGCCAGCTTTGGGAAAATATGGCACATAAATTCGTAACGGAAACATTCACTGAACCTTTGACACTTGTTTATTTTTGTATTTTCTTGGGATTATTTATT